GTTGATGGAGCTTCCATGGTTCTTGTGGCTTCATTTTGCTGGAGAGCTCAATATACTGATACGAGCTGCCTCGTAGCAAGGCAAGAGCCTTCTTTTGTATGGCAATAAATTCATGTGGATTACTCTCTCTTCCATCATGCAAGAAGTATTCGTGCCACTTTTCAACATGTATTTCCTTTCTAAGAGATTAATCCACAGAACGACGGCTCTGTGGACTTCTTTCTTTCCCTCTGCAAAGAACAGGTCCCGGCTAAAACTCCTACCACACTTTTATCCTCTGCAGGGACAGAGCCCGATAAGTCTCACATTGGCTGAGAGGGGAAGGACGCATAGTAGACTTGCCCAGCAGGAGTCCTGAGGACCAAACATGCCTCTTGGTGTTACAAAGCATTCTGTGTGGTTACCCTCCAGATCACTAGGGTTTATGGGCCTCATCTTGCAGTCTTTGCTCAGACAACACTCCCATTGACTTCCACAGAACTTCTGTCTGAGTAAGGACCCAGGATTTGGCCCAGAAGTTAAAAAAAAAGTCTTCTCAGCTTTCAAATGTAGATGATTAATGTCCCAGAGACAGTGGGCAGAGGTTTGGCACACTGTACAAAACTGACTTAAAGCTGAAATTTTCCTCCTCTTTCTTAGCCTCTTTGCAGACACAGGCTTTGAAAACCACCAGTCTATGAGATGCTGCATTGTATCCATCATGGGAACATCTCACCTGCCATAGGACTCGGCTGAAGCACAGAAGAGAGCATGCAAAGGGCTGAGTCTAGGGATCTACACAAGTTGCCTCCTGTCTCTGCAAGTCTGCAAAGCTTTTTGCTTCCAAGTTTTGCACGCCACTTAAATCAAACACGGAAAACCTCCTCACTGAGACTAGTCTCTCCATGACAGCTTGTGTTCAGAGACGCACAGCTCCTCTTTCTGAAAGCTTGACTTGCACAGCATGTCCTCCCCCAAAACCCATTCCCTTATAGGCTCTGACATAGAAAGGGGTATCCTGCGCCAAAACAGTGGCACATACAGCCTCCAACAAGAGAGCGTAGTGCAAGGAAGCAGCTGGGCATCTGTGACTCTGAACAGCCTGGAAGAAGAAGAAATGAAGGGCATGCTGAAGTCAAGGAAATAATGCACGGTCCTCTTCTGCTCTGCACGCAGCTCTGTAACCAGTGCCCTTTCCCACTCCTCCAGGAGTGATTCCCTGGCTTGAAGCACGGCACGTACAAGCAAACAGGCAACGCCAGAGAAAACATTTCCAAACTGTGGAGTGCTGTGCGAAGAAACAGTGGAGGGATGAAGGGTGCAAAGCAATGAACAGATGGAGGTGGGGTCAGAACAGCAAAGCGACGGGATCCCAGAGAGCAGGAGAAGGACGATCTCCATTGGGCTCACAGATAAACAGGATGCTCCCATGCTGAAAAAGCAGTAAGCATCAATTTTGCCAAGCTATATTGTAAGGACAAGGGGTCCAGATGCAGCTTCTTAGTGCCTTTAAAATTCAGAAGACTCCTGAAGGAGATTTTTGCTTACATGGGGAGCCACCAGCAGGGTGAGAAAACAAATGACATCATGATAGACTAGACTATGCCAGTGTGTGTCAATCTATACGCTCTTACTGCACAGCAAGCGAGGCAGCTTGAAGAAAGCTGGCCTACGCATGGACAATTCCCAGCCAACAGATCGAGCTCTCACTTAATGACAGTACAGTTTTGGCCACGGCGCTGGAAGCACAGGCAGGGACGGGCTGCAGGCAGACACCATTTTCGGCCCCTTCCAGTGGAGAAGGAGGCTCCTGAAAGCGTTGCGAGTGCAGGGTACGGTAAAGAGAAAACTTTTTATTCAGGGAATAAGGTTCTGTCTCACTCAGCAGCCGTTATGTTCAGATGGGACCAAGGGCAAAGAGGGATACGTTCCAGTTTCAGTCATGCTCATGTGAATCATTAATCACTGCAAGGACTGGGGAGAGGCTGTGGATTTATATCCATGCAGCTTGTTTCAGAAACTGGGCTTAAAATAAAGACAGAGAAACAGAGCAAGCGCCAAAATGAGAGAAATATACAAAAGAACCAAGTATCATCTCCTTTTGCATAACGTCCAAATGGAAAGGAGAATAGAGATGAATATCAAAGTGATCCTACACATCCAGCACAACATCCAGAACTGTCAATGGTTGCTTCCCTCTCCATTTGCTGACACAAAGTATTGCAGGACCGAGACCACAACTGGCTCTGTAAAGGCAGGCAACACTCGGGAATTTCTAGTATAACGCTCTTGCTGGGAAATTAAAATGGTGCAGTTGGTGAAGAAGAACTCGGGCTTGAGGAAAAAAGTTCAAAATATGCCAGATTTTGCATGATACACTAAAGAAGAAGAAGAAGAAGTACTTGAAAGCAGAGAAAACTGCACTGAGATGGAAATAAAAAGACGTTCAATTGCTGTGCTCCAGACCAGAGCTGTTAGCCAGCCAGCGAGGTCAGGTCTGGTAAAAGAGTCAAACCCAGGCTAAAAACATGCGTGGAGGGAGCAAGGGAAGAGGCAGCCACATGTCAAAGGAGGTCATCCTGCTGAAAGAAGGCAAATGGGGAAATGAAACACCAGGCTTAACCCGAGCTGGCGGAGAGCAGAAGCTTTGAGGGAGAAAGGGAAAGAAGAAACACAGCGGCCGATGAGAGCTCTGCAACAAACAGGACAAGAAAAGGAAATGACAACTGGATCTGGAAGGAAGTCTGATGAGAAGGGGCTTTTCTTCACTGAGGAGGCTAAGAACGACTTCGAGAAGAGGGGCAGTGAAAGGGAAATACAGTAGTAATAACACTACATTTCTATAACACAAATGGGAGTAGTAGCTTGCTAGTAAACTGGGAATGAGGTAGAAAACTGGGCATGAGGGCTAAGATCTCTGGGGGAATGAGAGGTAAGATCTCTGCTTTCAAAATTGCAAGGGGTTGTGGGTCCTTGTCAAAACTAAATTCCAACACAGTGGTTTGTGGAAAACGGGATGAGAAAAAAAGAAAATCTACAGCCAGCACCATGGTGCCCTGTCTTTCAGGAAGCTCCGTACGCAATCAATTATGTCTTTCATTTGCAAGAAAAGAAACTCTGACTTGTTGCCTCTGTAAAGGACTTCGGTTCATGCACTGGAGACATACAACACGAGAAGCAGATTCCACGGGGGAAACACGAGAGAAGTGCATGACTGGGCTGAGGGTTGGAAAGGGGATGCTCTTTTGGATCTCAGTAAATGGAGTAGTGAAGCATGGAGGTAACCATCAAAGAATTAATGGAGAAAGGATGGAAAGAAGCCATGGACTTTGGAAACTCCTCCACGGCCCACAGTCATGCAATGTTTTTGTTATATGGAAAACTTCAAGGGCAAAGGATTACAGACCAGAATCTGAGAAGCTGAATCATAATGAAATCTACATCACTCAAGAAAATGTCCTCTTGGATAAAACAAAACCAACCAAAACACTATTGTAGGAGGTGAAAGCAACAAAAGAGAGGGAAGATTGGTTTGGTTTGGAAGACAACATCCAGGTATGTTGGAGGTTGATGGCTGATGGTGTTGTGAGGATCCAAAGAAATGTCCACGGGAAAGACCATCTTTTTCAGAAGAAAAGGGTAGTGTGAATGAATCCTGGGTAAGGGGAGAAGGCAAAGAAAGAAGGCAAAGCTGACGGAACAGATTAATCCTAAAGGGAAAAGCTAATTAGTCTAGAAATGTCTGATGAATTACCAAGAGTGATCCTGCAGACTTTGAGCAATATTTCTATTGAGTCCTGTGGTCTTTTGCCTGAAAAGGATCATGCAGCTGTGGGAAAAGAAGGAAAAGCTTGACCATCTTGGTAACCAAAAACTCAATTACCCTAACACAGGGTAATTCTCTAACTAAGATTCTCTAAAACAGATTGAGTGAGGTAGCAAAAACTGGCCTACATTGTAAAAGCAGTCACTACATCTCAAATATCGAGAAGCAGGCATAGCAGTAGACATTCATACCCAAAAGCTGCATGCCATCTTCCTTTCCCCTCTGCAAACGCACAGGCAAAACAGTTCCTATCACAAAGGACTAGGTATGTCAAACTGTAGTGAATTCAAACATTGAGCCATATACTACTTGATAATAACCCTGGAAAACATTGCATGCTGCTTATCTGTTCCAGGTCTAGCTTCTAAGAAGTGGTCTAACCGTTTTTGGATGAAAATTAGAGTACACTTATTTTCTAACAGTCACTGGTGGAAAAAAAAAACCCCAAACAAAAAACAGTGTTTTGCAGACAGGTATAAATTAAAAGCCTCTCTTCCACAGAAGCAATTATTTTCATCTAAACCTTCAGCAACTGTATTCAGCCAAACATACGACGAAAAGGGAGTGCAATGGTTCCCTCTGAAACAGACTAGTTTCACTGCTTTCTTGGGGTGAAGTCAGAGAAAGAATCCAAATGTTTAAAAAAAAAGCCATTACTTTTAAAATTGTCATTCCCTACGCTTCAGTAATGTGGTAGTATCACATACATGTTAAAATACAATTTTCACCTTTTATCTGGACAGCGTCCAGTTAATGAAAAATTTACGAACACATTAATTTAATGCATTAGCCCAATGCATTTTGGGCTAATGTGCCATAACAGCTTCTAGTATTTTGGCTGTCCCACATCTGTCCTTACAAACGATCTGTGGCCCTTTAAAAAAATTAGTGAACGGGCAAAGTAGAAAATCATATGGTCTAATCCAGTCTTACTGACTTCACTGCAAAAGCACCGCACGCGTTAGCAGGAGCAGGACTGCAACTGCACCACAGCTCCTGATTGCAAGAGTTCTGTTTATACACAGTTTCGAGGCCTGATTCACGATGCCCTTTGCAAACAGTCCCACCGGCTTCAGCCGCTCTTCCCACATCATGTAAGGATGGAGGGGATGAAAAGCCTTTGTACCACCAGTGACTAATCTGCCCTTTCAACCACACGGCAAGCAGCAGGCGCACCCAGAGCACCTTGGCCTACCTGTGGCACAAAGGGCAATGAACGTTTGTGCATGCTTCCGGATCAAAAGCAACTTGTCTTTAGGTAGAGGCAGCTTCCTTAGGATGTGTTCAATGAAATCGTGCGGGGTGACGGCTGCGAGGTTCCACTTCAACTTCCCCAGCACCACCAGCTCCCATTCCTGCAGGGGGGGACGGGGAGAGGAGAAGAGAAGAAAAGCCATAAGCAAGCCTGAAAAAAACCACACTTCGCTTATTTCTCCGATTGCAATTATATCACTGCTAAATTGGTTTTGCTCAAACATTTTTGTCCGTATGCTCCTACTGCTTTGAAGTTGACTTTATTCTTTTTATTCTTTTTTTTTTTTTAAACACTGGAAATGTCAAGCTTTACTGAAAATAATGAGACCTGGCAGCTCCTGCCAAGATTTTACTTTTTTTGTGCTGAATGCCCACCCAGAAAGTTTAGCCTGCAATTAGATATTGCCAAGGTCACTGTGGTCCTTTCCTAGTAACTTCTTTTAAATGGCTATAGTCCTTACTTTATAGCCATTTAAAGCCCTAGGGATAACCATGCACAAAAATAACCCAGATATACATTCTTTTTTTCAAAACTGGGGAAGTTAGCTTGATGGCATTCTCTCCCAAAACTGTATTCAAAAGCTCCTGCAGATAAATCTGATGGCGCTTAAACTACTCCAAGACAGGCTCTGCAGAAAGGAAATGCACGTAACACAGCCAAGAAGTAGCCTATATAAATTATCTGCCAATAAATCATGTAGGATCCATTCCCACATTCTTTGCACACCCAAAACTCCCAGTGAAATCAAAGGAAAGCCTGGGCGCGTGTGTAACTACTGGCCATTCCCTGCAATGTGATTACATGTAGAAATGGTACCTAATCAACAGATCCAGCCATGGGGTTCAAGCATGGCTAGACCTGCATGCTTCAACATTCAAAATAAGTTTCGAATACCTTACAGTGCCCCGCAGAGTGAACAAAGCTCAGGCCTTGGACTCGTTTCTGTTTCATGCATCAACTATTAGCTATTAACTAAATTCCATGCACTGATTCTTGAGTCCTGATGATGCGTGAGCTTGACGGAGCCCAGCGTGGCGGGGAGCCCCAGCTAAGCTTGTAGAGCTTGGCAAGTCGAAAAAAAACGTCCTTTAATTTTGCAGCCGAGGAGACGTCAACCAGCGTTGCTGAGAAACCATAAACATGGACCCCACAATGCCATTTCTGCAGTCGTTTCTCTGAATAGATGCCCACTTTAACAGCAAGTTACTTTCCTACAGACATTCCTACTGGATTATGACAGAGCCCTCCATAGCTTGAAAAATCTCATGTTCATGTATGTAACCAGCCCCAGAAACTACACGGGGTTTTTTTTTTTCTTTCTCAAGAAAACCTGTAAAATGTTTGAACATAATGGCAATTATGTTAACTAAGGACTGATCTTCCCAACATTACCAATGCGACAGATTTTGATACAGAAGAGCACTTAATCTAGAAGACTGAATACAGGGAAGCACTTAAAACACATGCTTAAATGCACGTGGCACAAAAAGGTAGGCACATCGTTCCACGTCTTCTCGCGCGGGGACCACGGCACTTCCCCGAACGGTCCGTACCACCAGCAGGACACCTCATGTCTGTGACAGCCATGGCAGGGTTTGCAGTGCAAAGCTCTTTACTGTGCAGAAGCATGAGCTCCCAACCCCTTCCCGGGGGGAATTCCCACCACCTTCACCCGGTGATTCATAGGAGAAATTCTCCTGGGATTCGGCGGGCTACGTGCGTTCACCAGGATCTGCGAGAACAAAGCTATCTGGCTGAATATACATCTCGCCGAGAGGCTTACATCCTTCTCTAGCGCTCTATACCACGAGGCGCTTTGCAAATATTAATTATTCCGTTAAATAATTTTGACTCTTTTTGTTTCTGCTTTCACTGTGTCCGAATCGACCCGGAACTCTCCCAGGAGAAGTACCAGACACGGCCTTTTACTCACGGGGCCGTTCAACCGAGCTGAATTCTCATCCCGCCACCTGCCTCGGTGGTAACCTACGGGGAACCACGTTCGCAAAAGCCACAGGGAGAAGGCCACAGCTTCCCAAGCTGCAGAACCAGCCATTCACCCGCCGGC